CATTTGAGATGGAGAAAAGTAATTTTCAACTGCAAATTGGTAACTGGATCCTTAATGTTAGCTTTGCAGTTCCAGAAAACACAGCAACCTGTTGTAACGCCTCGCCACGCAGCGCTGGGACGCGGCCAGCCAGGCAGGGAGCAGCACAAGCCCACGCAGCAGCCAGGCCAGTGCTCCTGCCACGATGCACCCGCGATGATGCTGGCAGGGGGCTCGTGATGCTCGCAGAGGGTTTGATGCAACTGTTTAACAGCAGTGTTTAAAAAGAGGAGTTGCCATGGCAACTGCCACCCGGGTTTTTTTGCAGATCGGTACAGGGAAATGCTTGTGCTGTGTGTGCCCAGCCACAGCACAGCGGTCCCGCTCCTCTGCCCCGAGGCAGCCCGCAGCGCCCGCTCCCCTCTGCGGGCACGCGTGTGGTGGCTGTTCTCGGGGGGCCCATGCCCCAGAGGGTCCCGCAGCTCCGGGCACGCCATGCTCTTGCACGAGCTGCGGTTTCCTCTAGCAAACGCTTGCCTTCCAGGCTCCCGACGATGGGCACAGCGGGCAGGAGCTGTCGCTCTTGGTTAAGCAGGGACCTGCCGCTGCGTTGCCCAAGAACAGCCTGGTGCAGGGATGACCAGCAGCTGCCCGGAGCACAGGGCATGTGTCACCAGGGAGGTAACTGCTCGTTTCCCACTCGTAATTACCTTGCATGCTGGCTCAATAGCTTAGTTGCTAACTAAGACTAGATCTTTGGTAGTAATAAAAACAGTCCCTTGGTGGGTGGGGTTTTTGGCATTTCATCTCAGTTCCAAAATGAATAATTTATACAAGCCTTTATTGGAGCCCAGAGTTATACAATAAATGTTCCATGCAAACACGCTCACATAGTTCAATGTTAATATCTCTCCAGTGAATTTCCCTGGCAGGCCAAGCCAGTCTGGGATTGCCACATTGCTTATTTACGTAAAATATCATAATCTCACTTTTATTTGCATTTCTGAAGTGCCATTAGGGTGATTTGGAGCATATGAGCCCAGCCAGTTGATTGCAGCTGCAGCTCCTGCTCCAGGGTGGGAAATGACTTTCAGGGCTCCAAGGCGAGACGTGGCCAAGAGCAGAAATAGGTTTTGGCAGTTGGGCGCTGCGGGAACGCAGAGCCCGGGGGGTAAACGCCAGGGCACGGGAGATGAGCATTTGGGTGTTTGCAAGGGGCGGTGTGTTTGTATGGGGCTGAGCAGATGGAGATGGGAACAGCGCGTGTCACTGGGAGCTGCTGAGCTCCAGCCTGAGCCCACGCTCCTGTCTTGCTTGGGGCAGCAAAGCCTTTTGGGCACTTTAAATCCAAAGCAGTTCTTGCAGGAGAAGGGCGGCAGCTTTCGGCAGCAATAGCTGGGCTGCACCCCCACCCCTCCCCAAACCAGCATGCTCTTTAGGCATTTCTCCCTTTCTCAGTTAGGTGAAATTATACCCATCTAAAATGATTTCATTGCTTAAATCCCAACTGTAGCCTCCAGAGACTAATTACCTCCTTCCTGCATTTGCATCGTTTACATTCAAGTCAGTTTAAGGGAGATGTGATGTTTTGGAAGGAGATGTGAAACTGAGAGGCAAAAATGTTCTAAGAAGTAAACAGCTTGGAAGAAAGATGCGAGAAGACACCCATGGGGAGTGCAGCCATTTTGAGATGGGCTCGATCCTCCTTCCCATCAGGACCGGGACAGGGGAGGCGGCGGAGGGAAGGTGTCCCTCAAATGAGCACTTGCCAGCGTGTCACCTGCAGAAGAGGAGTCTCCAGCAGGAACGGAGGCGTGCGGCTTGTGCTCCTCCACATCCTCTTCAGAAAGAAATGACAAGCACCAGCTCGGTGATACTGTGCCTGTCTGAATCCAGATGTCTGGCTCCCATACAGATTTGTGCTGCTTTCTGCTGCTCACAGCAGAGAGGCAGCTTTAAGACAGGCAAAAATTATTTCCAAGTTGTTGCTTTGTGCACTGTTTTCTTCAGCCAAGCTAACTGCTGCTGGGGCTTTCTGGTGCTCTTGGGGTGATCTGAGGCTCTCTTTAAAGCTCAGGTTTGTGCAGCCACGGGTCTCAGTGATGGAGTGGAGGGAATGCTCTCCTTGCAGCCCGGGTGCCTACTGACACGTCTTCTGCTTCGCTCTGCTCCAAAACAGGACATGGAAATGATTTTCCAGGCGTCTGCGCCTGCCACTCAAACCTCCTCACTTCATCATTTTAAGCACGCTCTCATCTGCTCTTCTTCCATCCCTGCACGCTCCACCTGGGGCTGATGATCCCGTTCAGCTCACGCTGCCAGGAGCGCCGGCTCCGCAGAGCGGAGGCGGTGGGATGTCCCCTGCGCCGTGGCTGGGTGGCCAGCAGCCCTCCTGGGACTCGCAGCAGCTCGTGCTGCCTGCTGCCTATAGTGCCTCTCTGGGGAATAAGAACTTAAAATGTCGCAGGTGAGCTCAACAGGAGAGTTTCTAAAGAAAAGCAGTAAGGGTTGTTTGAGAAAATTAATTGAATTCATTTGACAACTACTTGCAGATCTAGGGAGCAAGTGCATATATCCCAGGAAGAATGGCTTCAAAGAAAGCCTATTGTGGCTGCTGTCACTTGTTCTGCTCCTTTTTCATTTTTTTTTTCTCTTGAAACTGATATGAGCTGGAGAGCTAGTGAAAGAGGACTTCATTTCATCCAAAAGCAAACTCAGCGGCACCTGGCGTATTCTGGAGGATCTCAACAGGCCTCCATTGTCTGGCCATGCTGCTGCCTGGGCAAATATAGCACACAGCCAGTAGGCTGCTTTACCAGGAGCGCTGCGATTTCAGGAGAGCTATAAATTTATATTCCCCTGTAATTGCAATAGCATACCTTAGTGCTGTTGCTGTAGCAAGAAGGTAGTTCTCCCCAGCGCACCGGGGACTTGGTGAAGATGCTGGCACAAACAGGATAATGCATGTTAGATAACGCGTGTTTCACAGACTGAGCTTAAATATTGAAAGAGCAGCATCCCTGCATCAGAGGGGCTTGAAGTTATCTTAAATCTAGGGAACGTTTTCCCCTCTGCACACTGGGATTTGCGTGGGGACCTCACTTCAGCATTAATGGGATTTGTGAGTTTGGAACAGATCTTAATGCACCGCATCCCTCGTATCTCTTGTCTAAGTAAAATGAGTTTGAATTTTTCATCTTAATCGCAGACTTGTGATCTGGAATATAGACATTCTTGTACTGAAAAGCATCCGCTTTTAGATCTGTTCTTTGGGGTATACAACGGCAAAGGCACGTCCCCGGGTTCTGCTGCCTGTACGCTGCGTTCGGAGAGCTCAGCTGTATCCCAGCGGTGGTTCGCATTTCAGTAGCCAGAAAACCTCAGAAATGCCTCGTGGCTCCAGAAGGACTCCCCTTCGACGGACAAGCAAGACATTTTGTGCTATTATTTGCTACTTAGCTTGGAACGGTGTTTTCAGTCTGTGGCACGGGTATGTAAAAGCGGTCCCTGCTCCGAACAGTGAGGGTTGGGATGAAGCGAGTGGCCAGTGGGGAGCAGTGCCGGTGGCAGCAAGGCTGGGTGGCAGCAAGGCCGGGGGCTCCCCTTCCTCGCCCAGCCCCGGCCGGCTGGAGCGCTTCGGGCACTCCTACCGCTTGGGACCAGGCTTCCCGGGCCTTAACATCAAGCGACTGGTTTTGGCTATTGCTGCTACCCTGCTACTGGAGGAGCACTCTTTAAAGTTGCTGCTATAGTGGAATAAAAAGTTACCTCTAACCCTCTAGGGATTTGGCAAAGATGCTGGCACAACAATAGTTTGTAATGAGCTTTAAGACATATTAATGAAGAGAAGTATAATTATTATTACTGAGTTCAATTACAGCCCTTGGATTACAAATACTCTCCCACAATCCCTCAAGAAAGAAATGCATCTTGTCTCTGCAATTAAATAAACTGCATATCAAGGGGAGGGAAGAGGATTAAGCTACAGAAGAAAGAATTGCTTCAACTTGACTGTGGTGGCCCCTCTCATCCTCCCGACCAGCTATCTGTGCTTTGAGAAGACGGATCCCTGCTCAGCACAGCACAATGGCAATAAAAATATTCTTTGGGAAACCAGTGGTTGGCTTCCTTCCAAAGTCTTAGGCATCTGTAAGGCAGCAGTTGCCATGTTAGTAGAATCTAATAAACTCCTTCCTGAAAAATTTCTGCAAGTGCACACCTGTACATTTCTGTTTCCCAAAGATGCAACCTAGGCACTTCTTAAGGGGTTTTTCCTTCCCCGGTTACTGAGTGTGGAGACAAAACTGAGGAATTCGCATGTTTCCCGCAAAGGAGCGTGACCGAAAGCACAAAGTGGTAAGAAATGTGTAGCTGCAAATGCAGAGCACCGTCACGGGTCAAGCGCTGGGGAAGCCGCACATGGAGCACAGGGAGCTTGACCTTGACAACGCAGCAGTACAAACAACGCGCTCCCTGGAGAACAGTGAGATCTGGGGGCTGGAGTAGCGGCTAACGTGCCTTTGGGCTTTGGGGCTAGAGGAGCTTGCCTCTGGAGAGCTTTGAGGGAAGGAGAAGCCGGTGCTTAGCTGTGTGCTGAGCAATGAGGGGCACTGCGTTTCTTTCACTTGCCGTAAGAAATCCATTACCGAGAGGATCGCTCCGACGTGGATGCTGGACGGCAAAGGAGCAGGCTCCCTCCCGGGGCAGAGCAGCTCTGCTGGCTTTGGTGCTGGTGGAGAAGCCTGCTAGCGCCCAGGAGATGGTCGGGGCGGCCCGGAGAACAGCGCTGCTACCTTGGGAGGTGGCACTGCTCCTCCAGACCGGCCAGAGTGGGGTTCGGTGTGGCTCTACCATTTGCTGCTTTTAACCCTAAAACCTATCCTGAAACACTTCTGACATCAAAATGCGCAGAGTTAAGCATGAGAGCAGAAGTCCTTAGTGACGTTGTGGCTGTTTTTCTGCAGGATGTAAAGAAGCAAGGACAAGCCTCGGCAAGCGTATGAACAGGCACGGGGAGCGTGATGGCGGCGGTACGGGTAAGTCACCAGCTGCCTTTCTGAGCGCTGCTGAGGAGCTTGGTTTCTTCTCCTGTTAAGCAGGATGACACAATCACAGCCACGCATGTTGTAGTAGCTTCTCCTTAAACATCGCTATTGTCTGCAGGCAGAGCGGTTTGTCTGCCCGCACTAGTTGTCTCTGGAAATGACAGAGCTAACGCTTGTTTAAATTCTCTCAGAACCCACTACCTGAATACATTTCTTGTGCAGCCCGATCGTTGTTAAATCTTTCCTACCTAACCTGGTTTACACGCTGTTTCAGGGCTTGCTTTTGATCGCGCTGGCTGTAGGACACTTGTTCGTACCATGAACCCTACTGCTTTGTTCCTGCAAGCGTGCAACCCATGGGGAAACCTTTGTCCAAATAATCTCAGATTCCCCAAAGAGAGAGAGCTGCCGGCTTTGCTTTCTAGTTGAAGTGACAGCAAGGAGTATATAGATTTATTCTTCTATTCATTGGTGGCTTTCTATTAGCGTATCCTCACATCAAATCCAAGTGTCAAAATAACATCCCTGGGATGCTAGCTGTAGCTTCTGGCCACTAGACGGACACCTGAGGAACGGATATTTTTAGCTGTAAAGGATAACCAGCGAGGGTTATTTAGTGAGGAGACGACCCAGGACACATGGTAAGAAGAAACTGTAATGCACAAACTTTTACTAGGATCTGAGAGGACTGGAATTACAGCGGTCGCCTCTGACTGCTGCATCTCTGCCGTGTGTCAGGCAGCCCAGATCCTGCCGGTGTCCCCAAAGCAGAGCCATCGTCAGCACTGGGAACACCTGGCTATGGACGCTGCTTCCCACGATGGCTCAGCGATGCCGGCCGGGCCCGTGGCACGGTGTGCTCAGGCAACCAATGTCCAAGTCAAGAAAGCAGTCCGCATTGCCACGCTCCTGCCCCGGGTGTGGAGAGAGGCGCGGAGAGGAAGATGCAGAAGTCAAGTTCCTAGCTATATGACAGCAGGCCTAGGTTTTATTTAATTTGGGCTCTGTTCAAGTATTAAGCACTATCAGTGCAGGCAGAAAAGAGCCCTAGAAACTCTCTGCTTGTGAAGGAGTTCTCAGCAGAAGCCTTTGTCCACTTCCATGATTAATCTGTCTCTGTCTGGAGTGCAGCTATTGCACACCAGGAAGGTGTCTGGACAGTTGCACTACATTTTCTTTACAGTATGCAAGCGGTGTGGACGGCAAGGCACACAGCCGACCCCGCACAGAGGTGGAAGATGACTTCAGTGCTGTGGCATTGTGTAACAGGGCTACTCCTGGAAAAAAAGTGCTTCAAAAGAGTCAGTACACAGGAGATCCACCAGCAATTTCTTGATGGAGGCATACTTGCATGTAGAAAATACTTAAGCAGATTGTAATGAAGATCTGGCTTCATTACTGGAGCCTCGTAGGGCTGATAACCGAGTCGCTCCTGTTGCACTGAAGTCCCCAGTTGGAATGAATGTGCAAACGCACGGCACTCTAGGACGCTGGAGCAGTTGTCTTAGCATGAATCCTGCCAATGGTACAATATTGCTTGCTGTTGCATGAACAGAACATGTCTCCTCTGATTGTTTTTTCCTGCTCTTTTGAGATAAATGCCGTCTGAGGATCCCCACTGGTAGAAGGTCTTCTCCAAGGTACAGTTACAGCTCTTTGCATGTAACCTCTGGCATTGGTAATGGAGGGTAAAAAAAAAAAAAAAATAGATCTAAGTGCTTTTTGGATGAAGCTTGCTCCTTTTCTGGAAGGAGCTTGTGAGATTTGACAAGAGACCGACCTCAGCGGCCTGTTCCACGGCCCAGCTCTAGAGCGTTTCAACTGTAATTATCCTTTTTTAATTTGGGGAGCTATCGAACTGTGATAACATTCCTGGAGTGGCTTAAACTCCCACTCCTGTAAGATACCAGGGAAAAAGATGCCTCTTGAGGAAAACACTGATGGCTTTCTGCTCTGCTGAGAAGGTGCTACCCAGCCCAGCCACCTTCTCCGTCTCAGGTTGGTGATCACCAGTGGGAACTGCACCTCTGCTCGGGCCAACTCTGTCCTCGGAGATACCGTTTGTCTGCCTCGCAACTGGTGATTCTTGGGAGCCAAGAATTAAATTGTTCAGCCTTTATAAACTGATGTATTGAATTATCACAAGATAAGTGACAGAAAATGAGCAAGAGTTAATTACATGACTGAGAGGGAGCGTATATACTCATCCAGGGAGCGGCACGCTTCCCCACCAGCTGCAGGCTCGGCCCGTGCTATTTTCGCATTGCTAGCAGGGACTGACTAATTCTGATGGGAGCAGAAAGAATTGCTGTTACCTGCAGACAAGAGAGGGAAGAAGATAATTCATTCCCATCCCAAAAGCAATCTCTGCAGGCAGGTTTTGAGACAGGTTTCCAGCCATCTCCCTTTGGAGACCACCGAGCAGGCTTTAAAGAATCCTTTATATTTTTAGCAGCAACATAATAGTGGTGGAAATTTAATAAACTTCACCATCAAATATTTATCCCATTACACTGGCTCAAGTAATTTAAGCTGCTGAAATCAACATTGTGGTTTTATTTTTAATGAGCCCCGTGTAAAACAGCCTCTTCTATCATTGTCAGGTGTGTACGCAAGAGAGTTGCATTTACTCAAAGCATTTTTAATCTTCCCAAAGAAACAATGTTAAATAATGTACAACATTTACCAAAATGTTACCTGTCACTGGTAGAAAATCTAGCTAGGAGTAGGCGAGCCTGATGTTTACTGGCACTTAGGCCAGAGGAAAAGCATAGCTTATTTTTTTAATCTAACCAGGCAAATAAAGCCGAATTCTGGATGGAGTTCGGCCTTGCTGGATGCAGGAGGGGTGTTCCCACCTCATCGCGCCGATGCCAGGGCAGGGTGGCGATGCCAGGGCAGGGTGGCCATGCCAGGGCAGGGTGGCCATGCCAGGGTGGCGATGCCAGGGCAGGGTGGCCACGCCAGGACAGGCGGCCGAGCTCCCTGCGGCCAGGGAAGGCCAAGGGCCGGAGGAGACGGGGAGAAGCTGCTCGTTTCTGAGCTCGGAGCCGGCTGGGAATAGCAGGGCCGCTAAACACAAGCGCTCCAGCTCCCTGGGGCTCCCCAGCAAGGGAACCGGGCGCCCGGG